GAAGATAATATGTCATTCTACTATATAACTTCAATCACCTTGTTTTAATGTTATCCTGTAGATAACATTCGCAGTTAAAAATATCTTTCGTGGAAGACCAAACTGAATAAATTGTAAATAGTAAAAATGAATAAAAATATATAATTTGATATTTGAAAGTTAATGATGTACCAAACGTAAATAGGGTCTGTAAGTCTCGTCAGCTGACCGACGAGATTTGACGAGATTAATAACTTCCGGGTACCTCAAGCGAAATGGCCTTGTCCATATTGTATTGGGCAAACTATGTTGAAGGTTTAACAAAGATTAAAAGGAAAAGTGAAGCTGCAGTGGAGTCTCAGAGGGTTCTCCGATTCACGTTTGACGAGTTGCGTGTGATAACTGCGAATGTTCAAGCATCAATGAGGGACACATCGTACAAAGTGCAGGTTGGTTGTAGATTTATAAACTCGCATACATAATACTGTTAACTCTTTCGATAAAACAATTTTTCATTTAATTTATGAATGATTGCTCTTTGAATGAATATAAACATACTTGAAAACGAAGCAAAACATTTGCCTAACGTTATTTATCGATGATCGTACAATCATACGTAACCTATGCTATGTAATTGTAAACAAATCTGTAAGCCTATGTATTATAGCATATGATTAGATTGTGTGTGTGAAGTTGTATAAATTTTATATATGTTAAGAATGACAAGTGTATAGATACATATAAGTTATCCTTTTTAATTTAATGTTATAATGTGCAATAGATATTCCTTGAATCTGAAGATAATGGTGTTGTGGAGTCATCCTCATGTGAGTGTCCTATGGGACGTTATAAGTGTCATCACGTGGCAGCAGCTCTCCTTTATGGGCAAGTGTATAGTATATAATTGTAAAACATTGTTTATATTTTTAAATCAATATGGACAATCTATTCAATTTTGATGTGTAAGAGAACTTAAGTAAATAATGAGTGAAACTCTTCAGATATAATTATAAAATGCTACATTCATTCCTCATTATTGCTGTATATTCAGTTGCTTTTCCATCATTTTTTTTTAATTCTTTATAAATATTGCAGGTATAAGAAGGCAAGTAAAACTGATGTAAAATGCAGTTGGATAAAACATCCAAAGTCAGCGCAGCCGAAGGTGACAACAACCATGGAGGAATTATTTCCACCAAAACAGCCAGGATACAGGTACATGTAGTTCATTTATTTTCAAAGCAAAGTTTCAACAAAGATTGCATGATTTGAGTAAAAATTATTTATATCTAAAATACAAATATAAAATATCACACACACATATAGAGCATTGAAACGTGAGGTGACGGATGAAGACAGATCATATTTTTATAATCAACTTGGCCAGTTAGGCAGATTTACAGGTTCACCAGTTCACGTTCAATTTGTTCCCTTTGAATATTTTCTTATATTGGATGTATTCATTGCCAGTTTTTTAAATTGGTTAATACAGTGGGTTTTTTTTTAACTTTTCTTTCAGATTTATTATTTATGAGATACTTTTTGTGTATTTGGAACTTCTATATTTGGACTTGATATTAATGTTATTCATTTTTTTTAAGCCATGGTCATAAAGTTTTAATGAAAATAAATCAAGCATATTTGTATTTATACAAATTCATGTCGTATATTCAATTTCAATGTATGTACTTTCAATCATCAAAGAGCAAAAACTGAACCTTCTCATTTAACAACATTCTGATTAGTTAATTGCTAACAGAAACATGCACTTTGTGAATTTTATTTCATACTGAAATATTTCTGATTTAATTTATTTGTGCAGCAATGCACTGGATATTATCAAAAGAGCCTGTGACAGAGGATATTCCTGTTGTCCTGATACAAGATATATTCCAAAGCAAAGAATTCTTGAATGCTGAATGCAAAGAATCCTTTTTAAGGTATGTTTAAACCTAATAATCTGATATCGCTCTTAGATTAAACTGTTTCAATAATATTATAATATCAAATTAACTTACACAATCCCATTGTACATATATCAGGTTTTTTTTTCATGAAATGTTATGTATAGCTTCTAACAGAATCATTTTACCCTATCTAAAAACCATGATTTTAGGGGGAAGCTTACAATGTCGCCAGAGAAAGTTATTCAAACTGCATGGATTACTATAGGACAGCGAGAAAATATTATGTGGGCTAAAGTTCGCAAGCTTCGTTTCACAGCTTCAAATTTTGGACAAATTGTTACAGCAATTCGAAAAAACAGGTATAATTTTTAATGAACACTCCGTGCATTCTCCTCAACCACATAAGTAAAGATGCATAATTAAATATTTAAAGATACATAGTGTATATATAGGATCTCCCATGATTTGTAGTTGGATATGATTTTTATCCAACGAGTTGTGTGTTTTTTATCCCCGAGCCTTGGCGAGGGGATAAAAACACACAACGAGTTGGATAAAAGTCATATCCAACTACAAATCATGGGAGATTCTTTTTATCCCATGTTTAATACTTCACAACCAATGTTTTACACTGTTTTATATAGGACTCCACTTTATTTTACTTCATCGCGCTAACGCAAAAACCATTGTGACGTCACAACTGTGGATTATGAAAAATTTATCCAATGAGTCATATCCACGGGATAAAGGGGTAAACATGGGATAAACATGATTATCAGTTTTCATGAATTTTGTAAATCACACACTTTTGAGGATATGTAAATTCTTCAACAGTAGCCCTGACCATGTTTGAAAAAGCCATGTTTCTTACTTATTGATCTTCTGATTTTGTGGATCTGGTAAATAACAAAATTGACAAAAAATGGTGTTATTCAAATAATGATGAAACTACAGTAGTTTAATTTAGGGATCTGTTTTTCTATTTTTTTTTTTTTAAATAACAAGATTTAGAGCATTCAAAAATACATTTGAAATATTTTTAGGTTAAATGTGTCCTTGAAAAAGAGACTACTGAGTGCATACAACTTGGAAAAAAGAGCACCAATCCAGTGGGGGCTTGCCCATGAAAAGACTGCAATACAAGAATACTGCAAGCTCTTTGAAGTAAATGTTTTAGAGACAGGTAAGTTTTATAAGGATAGTAATAGTTTATCAAGTTTGAAATTTCTATCATTCTTGTGCAATTTTCATTAGTTAAAAATTATGTCAGTCTTGATAGATTATTTACCAGTAAATAAATTATATTGATATCCTGCCTTTAAATGTTTAAGTCACATTATTATCATGAAAGTTGAGAAAAAAAAATACAGCACTTATTGTTGCCAAACAGATACAACTTCTTTAAATGATTGAAATTTAAATATTTTTACAGGAATATGGCTTCACGAGTCTGGGGTACTTGGAGCCTCTCCAGATGGTTTTGTCCAAGGAAGTCCAAAGGATATTACTGAAAGAGTGCATCAACAAGAAAACAAGTCAACATTAGTGTCACCTGACATTGTTGAGGTGAAATGCCCATTTTCTGCCAGATCAATGACAATCAAAGAAGCTTGTTCAAATGTTAAGGATTTCTTTCTTGGTAAGCTAGCTAGTTTTACAGAATTAAAAAAAACTCTGAATTTATATTGTAAGGGATTTAATCTTGAATTGCTCACATGATTTAGGTATATTGTAATACATGTATGAATATATACATGTATGCATACTTCTTAGGCATTATTAAAAGGTTTAATAGATGAATTATTAATGTTTATTGTAAGATTTAAGTAACTTGCACTACATTCTGAATATTATTGGAGTGCAATTATGTCAAAACATCTTGTTTACATGCTGTCTCCACCATTCCATGTCAATAAATGAAATTTTATTTACGTTTTTAGATTGTAATCCAAGTGATAGTTCACTCCACCTCAGGACAAAACATGATTATTGGCACCAGATCCAAGGACAGTTGTACCTGACAGGAACACAGTGCTGTGATTTAGTAGTGTGGACTCAGACAGACATTCAAGTTGTTCGCATTGAGAAAGATGTGTCATGGTCACCAAACATCTCGAGCATGATCGAGTTCTATTATAAAGTGTTTCTGCCAAGTTTGTAATATTAAGGACTCATAGTGGTTAACAAATAACCCGTCAGATTTTGAAGTTTTAAACTATTATTTTGTATAGAAAAGATCCATATATTTTAGCTTTAAAATATTTAGATATTTTCTGATATCTTTATACAGAACTTTTCTTCTTAAAAAAGATCAATACATCCTTTAAATGGCCACAACCATCCAGTCCTTTTAAATGATTCCAAATTTTTTATTTTCATTATTTCAACATACTTTTTACAAGACCATTAGTATACATGTACAATTATTGTTTGCTGAATCATTATATAATTACAATAACTGGCAAAGGCCCAACACTTGCAGAACAGATTATTTTTATAACATATCAGAATATTAAAATTCATATCAACATAAAAGGAAAATTTCTGAGACCCAAGATAGTGCATTTTTTCTGTATGATGTACATTTGTTAATGAATGAGTGAGTTACACTAAGCACTATCATAAATATACTATTTATTAAACAAAAGTTAGCCGTCAGAGTATTTGAAATTTTTGAAAAATTCATTCTATGAAAACATATATACAAAATTCTTTCAAAAATTGATCTCAAATGATTACATGTATATTTTTAGTAAGCTGGGAAAAAAACTTTGTATTTATGCTGCAGTGGTACAATATAACAAAGTCTTTCATGTACATGATGTATTGGAATAGATAAGTGTTGACCTTTTTCTATGGCAAGATTGTGTGAACTAATCTTAAACTACTAAAAACTGATCTTTTTACTTTTTTCATAAATATATCAACATATGAAGATCATTTAAAATTATCAAAAAGAACGTGATAAAATTTTAGCTTTGATGGAATTCAATAGATTTGTATTACCTTTTTTAAGCACTGGTCTGTAAATCTTTGTTTATATGTCCATTGTATAATGAATAAACATTATAAATGATATGATGGCTCAAAAGCTTTTTTTAGCCATACCACATAATTAAAGTACCCAACTTTACATGTATATTATCAAACGTGCATGGTTATGTGCATAGAAAATCAAGTACATTGTACTACCTAGACATTTGCAGATTCTAGATATACATGTATAGTTAGTTATATATAAATAACATTGACCTACTGAGTAGGTTCTTCAATGTCATACTTTTCTGCAATCTCTTTCAAAAGGGGGGCTTGCAAATTCACAAGGGCCACACAAAGTTGAAATATTTTGGTGGATAGGTGTCTATACTGTGATGGTATATGACTCAGAATTTCAAAGTTCTTTATTCTCTCGTTTGCCCGCTCTACGTGGATTCTGCTTCTTCCTATTTTATAACATAACTGAGCTTCCTCCTTTGTGAAATGAGACTTGTTGGTAAGAAAAGGTGGGATATTAAGGGTTACGCCATTTGGAAGTTTATCAAATATATTGAATCCTTTGTCGGCCAGTATCATATCACCAGCTTGCAACTTCTCTAAGATGCCACAATGGTCCACAATTGCAGCATCGGAGGTTGATCCAGGATACAGATCTGAACAAAAGACAAGAGCAGCATTAGGTGCAACACAAGTTAAAGCTTTCACAGTGTGGCGACTCTTGTAGTTACTGTATGCTAAGGACTGGCTATTCATATCTGTTGGGATGTCTTGTGTCACTTCTGTGGCATCCATCGCAATTCTTGCCGATGAGAATTCTTCAAATGACTTTGGCATGGATCCTTGGCATTTCAGTTGACTCGGTATTCCGACAGCCTTCATGACCCCTTCAAACAAAATTTCATGCAAGGCATGCACAAATGTGTTAATAATATTGGACACAGTAGCACGACTAGTGTTGAACCTCTCTGCTAAATCAAGGTCCCTGCAGTTGAGTCGTAACTTCATTAATGTCATCAACAACTGATCACCGACACTGAAGTTAATCACAGTCCACCCACCATAGTAATTGAACGGGCCCATTCTCTCCAAGAGGTTCTCCAAAATGTGAAAAATATCTGCAGGATATGACGTATACAGCAGCATCTGTACCAGAAAAAAAAACAATCACTGTTATGTTATAAAAATACTGTTGAATCTATGATTAATAATGTTTTGAAATTGAAAGCCCAAAAGGAAATGTTTATTTTTTCCTTACAAACTGTAAAAATCTATAGTTTTGTAACATACCTTTTCAGGATCATTAATTATGTTCCCAATTGTCATGGATGGTTTTCTTAGCTTGAGCGTATTGATTTCTTGCTGCAACTTCAATATTTCCTCTTCCATGTTTTTAAGAGAAGCTGGAAGAATAACAACAGTATACCATATATAGTCCTTAGTATATATGCATATGAATATAGACAACATATAGAAGCACTTTGCTTGGAAGCAGAAAACCACCATAAATGGGTATTAAATTTCTGGTTTAATGTACAAGTACTAGTATATGTACATGCATTTGTATCTGGTAGTAATAAGACATTTCATAATAGGTTGGTACCTTTTTTTTGTTGAGGATCTGATGTCGCATATCCATGATCATGAACCACAATTATGCTGTCTGGTACAGGCATTTTAGAATCAGCCTCAACATCAACTTCAGCTCCCACATCTATGTTTGAAGCAGATGCTTCCACTGCAGCAGGTTTCATGAGTTTACGTCTAATAAGAAAAAACAGACTTGTATACTATATGACCTGCCATTTCACTTGATTTATATAGTGAAGCAGTAGCATTTTTCTGCTGTTGATTATTCAGTAAAATATTTCTTTATTGCATTTAGATGCAGAATTTATTCTGAACTACATGTATGATTATACATCAGTATGAAATACAATTGTTCAGTAACATCATTGTACATGTACAATTCACATGCACATGTATAATCATTACTGTGGGTTACATGCATGCACTTAAAAATGATAATTTATTTTCATATATTATAATAAAATATATAATACTGTGCATTAAAGGTGCTTGGACACAGATTTGAAGTTAATATTTTCTCAAATTTTCTGTATAATTTCATGACTTATATGTTGCTATAGCATTTCATACTAAAATATAATAAAAAATCTTATTTCATCTCGAAGTTATTAAAACTTCAAATTTCTGGACGCGTTGGATTGACACATCCCTGCGCTTTCACATAACGGTATTTTAATTTTATTCTTACTACTTAAGAAAAGTGGCAATTTTGTTGTGTATTAATGAAAAATATTAAAACTATAACCCAGAAAATTCGGAGTAGAATTGTTCGAAAGCAAAACCAACTCACAGTATTGTAAGTCCGTGCTCAGTGGTGTGTGCAGAGTTTAACGATTGAACACACCCGGTGAATCATAAACATTAACAGAGCTCGTGCCCTGTTTACATAAACAGTTTACGTTTCACGGATGTGTTCAATTTTTTAAACTCTGTACACATCACAGAACATGGACTGACAATACTGGTGAGTTGGTTTTGCTTTCGAACATTTCTACTATGAATTTTCTGGATTATAGATGTAATATTTTTCATTAATACATAACAAAATCGCTTCTTTTCTTAAATATTAAGGATAAAGTTAAAATTTGTGTAAGTGCAAAGATTTGTTAATCAAACGCATCCCGGAATTCGTAGTTCCAATAATTTCCAGATAAAATAAGTTTTTAATTTTATTTTCGTGTGAAATGCTATTGCAATATATAGGTCATGATATTATACAGAAAATTTGAGAAAATATTAAGTTCAGATCTGTGTCTAAGCACCTTTAAAATCAACAGTTTCATAGCATTACTTTATTGTAAGTCTATATACTTGTAAATATCAGATAACACAAACTGTTTCCTATAATAATGTAAATGCCAGGTCCGGCACAATCTCTTGATTTAGCTATATAGCTTGATTTAGCTATATAGCTTGATTTAGCTATTCAGAATAGCTTGATTTAGCTATTTCATCACACTTTTTTCTTTTGTTTGTTATTTTTTCAGCACCTTGGTGCAGTGATAATATTCTACCTTGAACTCTTCTGAAAAAAATGCATGTAAAAATAACTCACCAAATTGCATCTCATTGAGAGACTTTGTAATTAAAGTTGTAAAAGTTTTGGGGCTATATAAAGCAATTGATTTGTGACCATACAGTTATTTCTTGAATGAAATTATGAAGGAGGTCAGTTATGGTCAACGGGATAATTGATTAGTTATAATTCAGTACAATGAGAAGCAATCATACTTATCCACACCTCAACACACACAAGGTAGTGAACAGTTACTCAAACAATGGAAATTCATCTTTTGTTGTCTTGTTCAAAAGCTGCAGTGTTAGAAGTATCTTTGATTTGGATTGTTTTTTTTGTTTTTTTGTTTTTTTTTGTTTGGATAGCCCACATTACATATATGAAATTGAATGGTCAAATACTTGCAACTTTTTTGTTTATTTCTTACAAAAATACATTTCTATGAAAAACTGCATATAAATAGCTTTATCAAGCTATTTTGAATAGCTTAATAAAGCTACATGTATACAGCTATTTCAAGCTATATAGCTAAATCAAGAGATTGTGCTGGACCTGTGTACATTATTGTAATTGTGCTTGAGCCAGTAAATTCATAATATTTGTATTTGTATAACTACGATTTAATGATACCTTTTTGGTGTGGCAACATCAGGAAAACATCCAACGTTTTTACTATAACTAAATATAGTTGGGCCGTTCTCCTTTTTGCCGTTCACAAAATGGCAGCTACAAATCCTGTCATTAGGATTATAATCCCTATCCGCTCTCCTGAAATGATGTGTTTTAACGATAAGTAACTATGTTTCGGCCTATAGTATACTTAATTTTGCATTAAATTCATATACAGTCTTTATTCAATCATTTATTTATACTCTTTACGGATTTTTTTTCCGGTAGCATTTGACATCAGTCTGTTCGACTTTTTATGTATGATTACTTACCTACATCTTTCAACCCATCGTTTCCTTTCTTTGAGGTCGGTTGGAAACCTGTATAGACTGCACTGCAGATTTTTACCGGTCTTGTGCGTACAACCGATGGCAAAACAAAACACCATAGTAGTTCACTCTATTTGTTTACACTGTTGAGGTACCCGGAAGTGGTAAAGCGAAAGTGAAACCAAACGAGACTTGCGGACCCTATTCCGTGTGAAAAGTATACACATATACTTAACTTTCCTATCAATGATCTTGTATTCAAAGTGTACAAACAGTACATTCCAGATACTAGATGCAGGACTTGTGAAAGAAAACAAAGGGCTAATTGCAGCCATATATCTGCCGATAAGGCCACTGTTGTTTAATTTCAAGTCTATTTCAGGTTTTTTTTATATATACATGTATTGAAATCTTACGAGATTGTACAAACTTAGCACTGCACATCAACACCAAATACAGAGTAAGAGTGGAAAGCTAACGATTCACACATTTTATCGTTATTCAGTAAAACAAAAAATAAAATTAAAACAATTTTAAAAAATCAAGCAGAAGGAATGTTGCCCCCATATGCAGACGTCTCTTAAATTACGCTACGAATATTATGCAACAAAATTATAAAAGTTGTATGCTTCTATAAATTCTTCATCAGTTGAGCCCACCTCCTTACATGTACCCCACCCCATCTCAAAAGAGTACTGAAATTGCTTCCAAAGGCTTGATTGTATTTCAGTATCTTTGATTTGCTGAAGAATTTTCAAGAGATCTAGAGTAATTTATTGATTCTGGAAAATCTTATATAATGTTGTAAAACAGTGATCAGATTGAAATCATTGAATGGATTCCAATTTCACACCTTTGAAAATATATTGTAAAATTTAGCCTGAAGGGAATATTCTCACACCTTTTTTTCCCCAGAACTTCAATGTAAACAGTGATATACACATATATTCAACAATTCATCTCCACACCGACTGATGATGACTCGAGCCATTTCCTGTTTATTATCAATTTGTGTATATACTTTGTTTTGGAGTACCCACTCTAAAAATTATTTTAAAACATTTTCCAAGAAAAAACAACAACATTTTAAAGTGTTGATTAATGGACATACAAAAATATGTATAGTTATAGTTTTTTTTACTGCAAAACAATGAAGATGACAATGGCTAATAATTAGTAAATATAGTTAACCTTGTTAATTAAGTTTAGGTAACAACATGTTGGACTAATTATGTTGTTAGTGCTATTATCACATGAAAACAGTTATTGGTATCCGTTTCAAAAAAAAAATAAAAATAAAAAATTCAAAATACATGTATTTGAATGTACACATGAGGCTTCATGGTTTGCTCATTCAAAGATCTGTTGCAACTCATTTTCATAATTAAAAAACCATCATTTATTCAACATTTTATTTTTTTCTTATTTAACAGATTAAAAATATATATTCATAAAATATACTTTTCTAACATTTCAATTTAATTTTACCAATTTATATTTATGCATACATATAATATGACCTTTCCTATTACAATGCATTCAGTACTGTCTTTTATGGTGCAGATTACAATCACTTACAGAATTTAGACTCAATTTACCAGAAATTGTATTTTTCATTTCATAACTAATTGTTTGGGAAATTTAATGATAATAATAAGTGTATAAATTAAATGAAGAATATCTAACTGTGCCATATTTCATCGTAAGTTTTTGTATGAAGAAAAACTATATAGGTATACATCTCAGCTCTTTGATTCATTCCTTGAAAAAATTATCAATATAATTACAATCCTTTAAATTTAAAAATGACCCAAAATTTAAAGTTATACTGATATAGAAAAGAGTAGAAATTCTGATATTGTAAAAATTAAGACTTCAATTTTCATAGGGAACATTTGCCATGTTAATTAAACTCACCTAATCATACTGGTGTGTTCTCTTAAATGGCTATATATAACTTTTTTTATTTCTGAATGAAATTTTGCCAATTTGATATTATTTTGCTTGCAATAGCATGTACTTTCTAAATGTCAAATGATAAATTGTAAAAGGACTGAAATTTTCATAGGGAGAATCCATCATCATATTATACTCCGTCAATCATACTGGTGTGTTCTCTTGAATGGCCATAACTTTTTTATTTCTGAATGAAATTTTGCCAGTTTGATATTATTTTGCTTGCAATAGCATGTACTTTCTAAATGTCAATTGATAAATTGTAAGAGGACTGAAATTTTCATAGGGAGAATCCATCATCATATTATACTCTGTCAATCGTACTGGTGTGTTCTCTTGAATGGCCATAACTTTTTTTATTTCTGAATGAAATTTTGCCAATTTGATATTATTTTGCTTGCAATAGCATGTACTTTCTAAATGTCAATTGATAAATTGTAAGAGGACTGAAATTTTCATAGGGAGAATCCATCATCATATTATACTCTGTCAATCGTACTGGTGTGTTCTCTTGAATGGCCATAACTTTTTTTATTTCTGAATGAAATTTTGCCAATTTGATATTATTTTGCTTGCAATAGCATGTACTTTCTAAATGTCAATTGATAAATTGTAAGAGGACTGAAATTTTCATAGGGAGAATCCATCATCATATTATACTCTGTCAATCGTACTGGTGTGTTCTCTTGAATGGCCATAACTTTTTTTATTTCTGAATGAAATTTTGCCAATTTGATATTATTTTGCTTGCAATAGCATGTACTTTCTAAATGTCAATTGATAAATTGTAAGAGGACTGAAATTTTCATAGGGAGAATCCATCATCATATTATACTCTGTCAATCGTACTGGTGTGTTCTCTTGAATGGCCATAACTTTTTTTATTTCTGAATGAAATTTTGCCAATTTGATATTATTTTGCTTGCAATAGCATGTACTTTCTAAATGTCAATTGATAAATTGTAAGAGGACTGAAATTTTCATAGGGAGAATCCATCATCATATTATACTCTGTCAATCGTACTGGTGTGTTCTCTTGAATGGCCATTACTTTTTTATTTCTGAATGAAATTTTGCCAATTTGATATTATTTTGCTTGCAATAGCATGTACTTTCTAAATGTCAATTGATAAATTGTAAGAGGACTGAAATTTTCATAGGGAGAATCCATCATCATATTATACTCTGTCAATCGTACTGGTGTGTTCTCTTGAATGGCCATAACTTTTTTTATTTCTGAATGAAATTTTGCCAATTTGATATTATTTTGCTTGCAATAGCATGTACTTTCTAAATGTCAATTGATAAATTGTAAGAGGACTGAAATTTTCATAGGGAGAATCCATCATCATGTCATATTACTCCATTAATCGTACTAGTCTGGTGTGTTCTAATGAATGGCCATAACTTTTTTATTTCTCAATGAAATTTTGCCAATTTGGAATTATTTTGCTTGCAATAGCATGTACTTTCTACATGTAAAGTGATAAATTATAAGAGGACTAAAATTTTCATACGGAGAATCCATCATCATGTCATATATTACTCGTTAATCATACTAGTCTGGTGTGTTCTCTTGAATGGCCATAACTTTTTTATTTCTCAATGAAATTTTGCCAATTTGATATTATTTTGCTTGCAATAGCATGTACTTTCTAAATGTAAAATGATAAATTGTAAAAGGACTGACATTTTCATAGGGAGAATCCATCATCATATTATACTCCTTCAATCGTACTGGTATGTTCTCTTGAATGGCCATAACTTTTTTATTTCTCAATGAAATTTTGCCAGTTTGATATTATTTTGCTTGCAATAGCATGTACTTTCTAAATATAAAATGATAAATTGTAAAAGGACTGAAATTTTCATAGGGAGAATCCATCATCATATTATACTCTGTCAATCGTACTGGTGTGTTCTCTTGAATGGCCATAACTGTTTTATTTCTGAATGAAATTTTGCCAATTTGATATTATTTTGCTTGCAATAGCATGTACTTTCTAAATGTCAAATGATAAATTGTAAAAGGACTGAAATTTTCATAGGGAGAATCCATCATCATATTATACTCTGTCAATCGTACTGGTGTGTTCTCTTGAATGGCCATAACTTTTTTATTTCTCAATGAAATTTTGCCAATTTGATATTATTTTGCTTGCAATAGCATGTACTTTCTAAATGTCAAATGATAAATTGTAAAAGGACTGAAATTTTCATAGGGAGAATCCATCATCATATTATACTCTGTCAATCGTACTGGTGTGTTCTCTTGAATGGCCATAACTTTTTTATTTCTCAATGAAATTTTGCCAGTTTGATATTATTTTGCTTGCAATAGCATGTACTTTCTAAATGTCAATTGATAAATTGTAAGAGGACTGAAATTTTCATAGGGAGAATCCATCATCATGGTATACTCCATCGATAGGAATTGGTGTGTTCACTTAATTAAATTACCATAACTTTTTGTACTTTTCAATGAAATTTAGCCAGTTTGGAATAGATTTTTTTGTCATAGCATTCACTTAGTAAATCAAACCTAATAAATGAATTTGTGTATATTTTTTGAAACATTAAGAAAATGACCAATGGGAGACTTTTTTTCTACTCAAGACCAGGTTTTAAAATTTAAATAAATTATTTGAAAAGGGAGAGCTTTATCTGCCTTATAAATACAGTCATAATTACTATTCAAAAATAGAAATTAAGTTTTTAAAGTCAGATACCTGCATGCATATAACATATGAATTTATTTGACCCCTAAATTCATCTGTGAAACCTGAGTGGACTACAAGTTTTCTCCTTTTATTTCATGCAAATTCACTTGGTTGAGTACTTTTATTTGATAACGCTCTCCGAGTGAAAACGCTACCATGATTAAAAATAATTCAACATTCATTTAAAGTAGAAAAATATAGTCGTTATAGAACAATTGAATACTTTATTTAGAATGAAACGAAACGCCCGGAGTGAATCCACATAGTCGAGACGAATCCACCCAATACCGATCAAGATCTCCACTGCGCTTTGTATTCGTAGTAAAATTACACATTCTGTAAATGCATTGTTGCAACTGTGATGCAAGAACAGGGAAAGATGCAGTCTGCTGAAAGGATTAATTCACGTACTTTTAAATCAATTTAGTCTCATTTATATTCATTTTATTGAGATATTGGTTTAATACGTAATGCTTGAATTAGTCCACAATCACCTCAGCGCAATTAATAAGTCAAAAAGAAAGGTGCTTTAGTTCAGTTCAGTTATGGAATTCCCTCCTATGTATAAGGAGCACCCGAGAAGGTGGTTTCATAAAATACATTTAAAGGTCGGAAGTATTTCAGCACTTATAATTATAACCCATTACAAACCTACTTCAATGATATTTACAAAAATATTTTAGTTACCATTCATTATGAAATAATTTCAAGATAGATCCATGCAGAAGTCTATTTAAGGTTTATGATAAACACTGATAAAAGTAAAGAATAACAATTTTATATCTAGACCACAGCATGTATATAATATGACAGTAAAGTTTTTTTTATAGTGATATAAAGCTAGAGTAGAAATATTAAAGTAATGATTTTAAAATGTTAAGTTTGCAATGAATTATATGGCAAAAAGCTTTCAAAAATAATTTTGACCCTTGACTGTATTAGATTAAAAGAAGATGGACTGTTTTTCCCTGTACATTAAAGAGATAAAAACAATTTCCATTCTCCTGTAGGATAAAATATTCTATAAATCATTTTGTTAGAGAACTTTTAATCCTATTAGTGACAATTATAGAACTTCTTGTCCTATTTCACAAATTATGGGATAAAAAATCCCATGTAAGGTTAAAAATGGGAGTTTTGCTTCTATAGGAGAAAAAATCCCACAGAACTCATTTTTCTCCCACAGAATAATGGTGGGATATTAGTTAGGAGAGAAAATCCCACCATAATCCCATGGGATTTCTTGATTGCAGGTGTAATATCTTTTAATCTAGAAGATATTCAGGTGTAAAGGTTAGTCCATGTTGTGCGATTAAAAAAATCCCACCAGATGACATAAATGGTTTCCATGTATCTTTGGAAAAGTGGTTGGCGAAAGTCCGGACAAATTTCGTGTCCGGAGTTAAATGTCGCACTGTTATTAATATTCCTTTAAATATATATTTTCTTGTTTTTCATTTTTTGAATTCAAGAAATTCTTTAGACTGATTTTTTTTCAGGAAGATCTCCACTTGTAACTTATTTTTTTCAAGCTTTTTTTTTTATCATTAAAGTTCATTACAACTGTACCACTAGTAAATTAAGCAATCCATCATTCTGGACTAAAAATTATACACCGTAGAAACCTCAGACTGGCTTAAAAGTGAGGGAACAATGTATCATTTCATGAGCTTAATATGCCATATGATGCTTTTTAAAAAATAATTATAATAGGATACTGTTAATTACAAATTTATCGAGGAGGAGGGGTCTATTTTTCTTGATTTTTCTCTATAATTTATATATACGAGGGGTTATTTAAAAGTTTGCAGACTAGCACCATAAATTAAAACTATTTAGGTATACAGCAAAGTATGGTGGCATATTTCTGCCCCCTACATGCAAGAAAAATTATGTTAACATGCAAGAAAAGTATGTCAACATGCAAGAAAAGTATGTCAACATGCAAGATATTTATGGGCCTGTTTTAACGTGACAATCACTGGCCGATTTCGCGTATTTATTATTTCGTACATGATTGGGCTAGACGTAATTATTATTTTGTACACGATTGGGTTAAACATAATTTTTATTTAGTATATACTTTTGGGTTAGGCATAACTATTATTTTTACTGAATGTCTTACTCCAAGACTAATTTTTTCCCCAGGTATAATTAAGGGGTTTGCGTTGAGAGAAGATGAGGTTATTATACATTCTTTGCAAGCAAAATATTTTATTAGTAGATACTGTTCAGATATACATGTACATATAAGGGTGGTAAGACATAATATAAAGAGGATACTATATGTATTCAGATGTAAGTACGCGGTAAGACATAGGAGACTATCGATCGATAGGCACGTAGTGGGGGGGGGAGCCCCCTTTTTTTCAAAACAACACCTTTTACTAATAACTACTTGCAAATGTTAGTACATTGAGGGGCTGGTTCACCAGGCCTTCCGGCCTAGCTGGAACCTACCCCCCCCCCCCACACACACACACACACACACGCGCGCGCGCGCGCGAAATAGGATTTTCGAGTTTGGACAATATTCCTTTTTTTTTTTGCTTTGTCAACGATTTTTCAGGTAAATTTTCTTTTTTTTTTTTTTTCTGGTTGCACCTCTCACACTTTCAAACACGATACTACATGCCTGATCGATGTTCTATGGAGCTACTGGAACGCTTCCATTTTGTAGGGGTCATGACTAATCTTTCAGTTGTCATGTGAAGTGGGAGCTGTTAAAAAACAAGGGCTAAACAAACTAAAAGGAAGCGCTATGTCATGAACCTAAAGCATGTGGTATGAAAATTTTTGGGAACCTATTTAAAAACTGGTTCTCAACCTCTGTTCGGAATACCTCTAAAACTTTCCATCGCCGATATAATGAGATTTTAGAACCAGTCAAGCCACATGATGTTGACACAACATCATAACACGTTGCGAAGTCGCAAAGCCGCGAAGAGTGAAACCCGAAACCGTCGTTATCACATTATTATCTGAAGATGCTGATGACGCCCCTTAAACCATGATGACAACAGGAAAATAATGCGCAAAATTCGCCGATTGTTATTTTTCCTTTCCGTTGCATTCGTCTGTACTAGTGTATTTTACGTTATTGGCGTTGTGCTCCACAGTTTCTTTGATGCGCACGTTGGATTTCACATTATTACGGAGATCGATAACTTTGGCGAGGTATTTTTGTACAGAATGAAGCATTTCCTTTACTGTGTAATTTTAATCCATTAACGAACAGATGTTGTTCAATAGTTCCAAGTAATTGAGTCAGATTGTATAAAATTTGGTTGATCTTCAACATCAGTCGCACAATTTTACTTTTCCGATGAAATTTTGCAGTGTCAGTGTGTCTGTGTAATAGCTAAAAAAACTCTAATTTTAAAATGCATTGTTACATGTACCTGAAGTCAAAGTGCTTGTGGATATAGGCTAGGCCTAGATACTGAAGTTAAATACATATTTAAAGAAAAAATTGCTTGGACTTCAAACTGATATCCATGGTATTTGAGATATCAGTGTTCGAGATATAGCTAGGTCTTTACCATGGCACACACCATTATCTGACATGATTATATGTTAATTAATTAAAGTAAAACTTGAAGACTAACAATTTGTCAGAGATAAAAAAAGAAAAAATTTCTAGAAGAATATTGCAGCTCAGAATTTTCAGTAACATAAAATGAGATCTAGGTGGGAGTGGGGGTTTGAAGCTAAGGCGTAATAAGAAAAATATGTTTGTTAACGGTTACCCGACCGACCCTATATTAAATCGCTGACCCAAATTTTTTTTTAAAAATCCGGAAGTCACTCGCCGGTCAGTTTAACTTTTACATGCATCTTTAAATGGTCAAGCATTTGAAATCGAAATTGAAAGTACTAGAAACAAAGAGCACCACACAATGGTGAACCTGTTTTATATTTCAACCAATTCATGTGAATTTGTGTATAAAAAAATTCAAAAAAATAAATAAAAAATCCTACCTACCAACCCTACTTTATTTCAGCATGTAACAGTAAACAAACATATTTTTTTATTTGGCCTAATATAGATGTAGGCAATTCGTCTAGAATTTGAACAACATAGAATTCAATAGAAATAGTATGCTACACATTACATATCCTATGACATGCTGTGATACACATATCTTCCAATAATTCTTAATTATGGTATTTATTTATTTATTTTTTTTTTGGTTAGAAAAAGATAGCAAGAGAGAGTTCATCCACTCGAAAACTAATACATACATGTATATACAGTTGAATACACATATCTCTAATTCCAGGGATATGTCAAAATGAATTGGCAGTTCCAAGTACTTTTTCTTATTAATATTTTTTAACTCTATCATCTTGATCCTCAAATATCTTCAAGTTTAATCTCAGTCCCATCAATATATATCAATCAATAAGTTCAATATAATGAAGTTTGACTGTATTGGGTTAGAATATTTATTGCATAATAGAAGGGTGTTCATCATGCACATATACTGTTATAATATGCATATATACAAAGATAATGAATGGGTTTTTTTCTTCAGATTCATACAATCCCACTGAGGAATTTCAACCCAGATGATTTTCTTAGGACATATCAAGAAGAGGGAACTAGGCAGATTTATGGTTACAACGTTAATAAGAGTTTCCACATTCCATGGAACAGAACCATTCCAGAAAGGAGACCACAAAGGTAGGGTTTGTCTTCTGTCTGTTTTTTAAAACTCCATGTCTTAAAATTCTCAATGGCAAGTCATGCCTCCTTCTTCCTTACAAATTTGAAATAGATGGGGAAAAAATGAAGCAAAACTAAAAGCAGTTACATGTATGAACAGGATGAAATTAAACACATGTATTTGTTTCACTGTGGAGTCATCATTGTTTGTGGGGGACTTTTTTTTACTGGATTCCATGGGTTAACACACAAATTATCCACAAATTTATATCCCCATAAATGATAAACTTGTCAATGTATTGGTTTATTGAAACTTATATGTATACATGTATGTACAAGTTATCCTTAAAAGTGTATGTCCCCACAAACCCACAGATTAAAATGCTTCCATGCAGCTAATAGGGAATTAATTGTTTTCAAGTGAAGTTCACATTGTTATGAGAAAATAATTCAGTATAACATCCCAAGTTTGCAAGATAATTTCAATGAATTACCCAGATGTCATCTACATACTCATAGTCAGAATTTCAATGTGAAATTCATCTGTTTATTGATACCAAAGAATTTTTTTTTTCCTTTTAGCTGTAGATACGTAAGAAAATCCACCAAAAATCTACCATCTGCCTCCATTATCATTGCTGTACAGAATGAGGTCCCTTCTGTTGTTCTTAGGATGGTCATGAGGTATGAATAGGTTTATAATTTCCAGTTTTATAAATTTACTTCCTTTTCCTTTGCTACATGATCACAGGTGTTTGAATTCACACAAATATATATCAAACAAGGCTTCCATGTTGCATTATACTGATACAGTACCTCTTTGTCTTGATCTCACAGATTATTTTATTCACTACTTAAAAAATCTTTTTGCTCACCCTGACAAAGTCAAAATTAGCCTATGCTATACCATTGTCGGATACCCAGGGGCAATCTTGTCTTTTACTCATCACCCGTAATATTTCGACAAGTTTGCCAACGGGTGCTGAGTGAAAGATGAGATCACCCATGGGTATCCAAGGATGATGCTATACCCCCTGTGTCTGCATCCCAGGCTAAAGTTACTGAAGCTGCCAAGTATATCAATTTTCCAAGTATTAATAAGCCCATGGCAACCTATCAACCTGGACCAAACTTGCTTGGATGATGAATTCTATTCAATTTGCTTTGGATGCTGCATCTGACCTGTATTTTGTAGATGAGTGACCAGGTTAAATTTTTTTGAGCATGAAGCTTCATTCCTGAATGATTACAAACCTACCCTGGCCAAACCTGAGTGAATGATGCATCTATTGTAATGAAGTAAATGATAGATTTAAAATTTCTCCAGCCATGATTCTTTACCTGAAATAAAACCACATTTGTTATTAAGATGTGAAGTTTGTACAATAATTGCTCCTCAATTTTTTGAAAGGTTTTTAGCACTATATATAGTCCATAGTCCACTTGTTAATAAGAACATATATTTGCACATTACAGCATTCTCAGATGTTCACCACCAAGTCTGATCAAGGAGATTATAATAATTGATGGAAGTAATCATGAAACTGGTATGTAAAAATCTATTTTAAAGTAATAATAGAGTAAGACTGTATTCAAATTTAGACAGATGATGAATGTTTTATGTTTCAGTGATTCCTTTTGAGTACAGTAGCTATACTTGTTTCTTCAGATTCCGATAATCATATCTCTTAACATTTTTGGACGATTTTCGGGAAGGAGGGGGTAAGGGGTGATTTTTTTATTTATATCCACTGAATATTTTTTCCTTTATTTCTTATGAAAACCACAGTCATTTATCAGTAACTGCAGAAAAAATTTCATTTGGATCAATGTGCAAAGTCCGAATTTTCTCTTCGCTCAGGCTTGGTTGTTAGAGCTCACATTGCGAGCGGTGCCGCTTGTTACGCTCACTATTACCAGCATTTACACAGACATAAATACAAACAATAAAATAAAATAAACCTTGCAGCTATTGCAGAAAAAAAATTACCTAACCTGCTTATGCAACAGCTGCAACATTAATTCCCATATACTATCAACCAAAGAAAGCATTTTGTTGTTTAATTACAATAGGCTAAGCTTAATTTACTTGTAGTTATATAAACCCTATGTCTTTAGACTGAATTTCATCATAGATGAAGATTTCTGGTTTGTAAGGCATTATATATACGTATACTAGTTCATTATGGTATTGTAGCTTTTTATAATGACTTTTAGGTGTGTATCAGAGATCTCTATCAGCAATTCCAAAGGTATATTTCTATACACAGCCAGGATTAAAAGGTTTGTAACATTATTCATATATTGGCAATCAAAGTACTAAAAAATTTCTGCAAATATATTCACACAAAAAGCACAGAGAATTCATTGAATTTCATTTATCAACAATGAAAAATAAATGGAATGTTATTTTTTAACAGAAAAAATAGATATTTTGATAACACTTACAAACTAACAATTATATTCATCTCTGTTTGGTTTGGAATCCAACCACACCTGTGCTGTTTAAATAAATAATGACCAAAGTAACTACAGTTGAGCTTCTGTACATATATCTTGCATGTCAATATCTTGAATACCATAAATACGCCCAAGAGATTTCAAGTTCAAACTACTTTTAATTTCTTAAATTATTATAACCTCAACTATCAAATATTTCAAAGGTTTTTTTCTCAGTCCCAGAGGTCAGGATAATGAGGTTTCACTGTATATATGAAATTTTTCAGGCTTGGTAGCTGGATTGTTACTTGGAGTGGCTAAGTCCGCAGGGGAGGTGCTTGTCTTTATGACTGCTCCAGGGGAGGTGACTGCTGGGTGGCTGGAACCTCTACTTGAGAGAATCCACATGGTCTGTACTCTGTAAAATCTAAAATTTTCCTTGAAGTAGTCACAGAAATAGTACTTTTATAACTGAAAATGTTATCTGGAGTATAGAAAATGAGCTTATGTGACAACAGAAATGACATTTTATGTGTTGTATGTTATGTAGAGTATTTTTATATAACAAGGTTTATGCATACATATTCATGTACACAATCTAACTAAATGGAGATCCTTCATTGACTTTATATGTACGTTGCTACACAGAGGATCTAACAACATCTTGTTTGGGTTCATCTCAGATTGACCTTTCAAGTGAAAATACATGTACATGTACAAGGTAATAGAAATTCTCAATGACATCATAGATAAGCAAATCAGAATATTAAAATAAGTCTCATAAAACTGTTTTCATCTCAAAGCACCAGTTCACAGTGAAGTACAGTGTAGATTTTCTGAATATTAAAGTCAAACCACAACTTGACAGTGCGCAAGATCTTGTCAGTAAGAGAAATTGTATGGCATTACATGTATAACCAACTAGGTTTTGTCAACCTGAACCATATTTCTTATTTCCATACTTGCCAATAGTCATGCTGACAGTTTAAAAGGCTTTGTGCTGATTGGCTAAATGAAGGGTCATTCCAAGATGACCCCAAGCAGGAGATGTTAGATCTCATGTGTAGAGATTTACTTGAGCAGATCAAAGGATGTTATTATAGTAAGATTGTGCATAATATACAATGCATCTCTGTTAACAAGAATATTGTTTGTTTATAACTACTAGTATGTAATGATAGTAGCATTTCTTTTCAGAAGCCTGGTGTTATTGTTAGTCCTGTGGTAGATTTCATACATTTTGAAACTTTTGAGTTTGAATCTACTAGTACCAATCAAAAAGCAAGTGAGTTATATCAAAAATATTCATTAAATAGTATGATTATCATTAACAATATAAAGAAATTTGATTTACTGATTCAACAGCCCTTGAGTTTAGTTATTGCAACTTTAATTGGAACATCAGTTACTGAATATATAAGAATAATTATATGTGCATTATACAAACAATGAAAATACAGTGTATGATGCATACTTTTAGTTTTGGACTGGAGTTTATCTGTGAAGTGGCAACAGTTGACAGCAGCAGAGTGGAATCAGTCAAACAAACCAACAAAACCTATTGTGTGAGTCAGGCTTGGGGTAATGCTAAATGTAATGGTAATGCATTGCAATGCATTACTTGAACTCAAAGTAATGCTAGTAATGTGTAATGCCAAAATATTTGCATTACATGTAATGTAATGCATTACTTTTTCAAATCCTGAGTAATGCTGGCATTACATAACATTACAAAGCATTATTTTGTATAAACCTATTTTAAAAATTTTAAAATGGACATGGAAATTATTGTTTAGATTAAATAATTTTTAACTTATACTGTGACTACATGTACTATTTAATCCTCATCTTCCATTTGCTGACCTCAGGCTGCAGAGATTGATGAATATCTATTTCCTTGGTTTCATTTGAATTGTCAAGCCAAGAATGCTGATAAATGCAGTTGAAATTTCAGATCTTATTTCCATGTCCCATGAATACTAATTTTAAGATAATTATAGATCTGGTGGTCACAGCCATGTTACAGATTCAAACCTTGACTTAATTAGTTGTAACTCTTAAATATGTGTACATCAAATTCATTTGACAGCCCTGCTACTGATATATCAGCCAGTACAAATTAAACTTTGACATAATATACATTAATTTTATATTTGACAAATTATGTAAGGACCAGGGCTAGACAAATAGCATTGCCCGACGCCCGGGACATTAAATTTTGTTTGGCGGGCAAGTTATTTGATAAGTGGTACCTGCCCACGGACAAATGCTTCTCTGGTTAACAAAAAAGCAAACATTTTTTTTTATCGCTGTTGAAATGTTATGAATCACATTTGAGCACCTGTTGTCACTGCTGTTCATCACTACATCGAATACTCAGTCGGAATTTCTCTAGAATTTACCCATTCATGTGTAGTTAAAATATACACAAGAGTAAAACATAGCAGCTATCGATTCCATGTCAAATAAGTTGAAGAGGATTTTAGACGTTTTTAGGTATTGTAAAAATGTAAAACTCATGCCGTAAATACAAACATTTTAAACTGATATTAAAATTGGACCTGTTGACTGGCGATCACTGAAAGTCACGATTGACATGCAGGGGTGGTTTCCATAATCAAATACTGTATTATATTTTTGGTTTTCAATCAAATAAATACACATTATTTTTAATTAAAAAAAGGAAATACCTCATTAAAGAATTTTGAAGAAAATAGACTGAAACTTTGACTTTACTAATACCCAGAAAATCGGAAAGAAATCTGAATCTTAAATGTAAAATTTTACTACTAAAATATTGAACTGTGATCATGTATGCATATTATTCAAGATATGAAATAACTTTTTTCAGTTGAGAAATTGTAAGTTGACAGTGTGAACTTTAATTATAAGGCTTGATATTCATATGCCTTGCAATTGGAAATCATCAAATAATTTGACGTCTTCATTTTTTTTTTCTCTTTGGGATGTTAAAGTAATACAGAGAAATGTTTAAATTATGTACATGTATATAGATTATGTAGATATGAGCACTGCACAAGCTAAGAAATCTCCCTGGAACAGACTTACCCCTAAATTTTTCCTTGGAAGAATTAAGTGATTTTGTGTCTAGTTTGGCCCCCATGTAGTGTATCAGATGAGAAATAATTTAATATTAAACAATAATGCTTAAATTTGTGTTAATTAAGAAAAAGGTGGGACAAGCTTTTTCTTTTGGTAGGACAAGTAATTTTAAGATGGTAACCTGTCCGAGGGCAGGTACTGAAAAAATTCTGTCTACTCCTGAGGACCTAGAATTAAATTTCATATTTTGAAACTCAGTTATAAAACTTTAAAGATTTTGAGCTTTTGAGAACATTGAAGTCTGTGTTACAAATTTTTTGTTCATGTTTTCAGATCACCTGTCGTTGAGGGGAAGATTATAGCTGTAGATAGGAAACATTTCTTGAAACTGGGTCAGATTGACCCAGACCTGGAAAATATTGCAACGGCCAGCTTAGGTTTGATGCTTTGATGGAAGATAAAATTTGAATTGTTGAAACTACTTTAATACTGTAAAAAAAAAAAAGATATTAAAGTTTTTCCTGTATATCATATGAGTGTGATACACTAGATACACAGATTCATTCATGTATCTATACTTGTTTTCATTTCATGAGGATCGAGTACAAAGAACTGTGACCTATTATTATTAAACACAAATTATTTATTTTCATACAATCTTCAACTGAATAATTATTTTCAACTATCAAATTACATATATGTAGTTAAAATTTGGCTTTTAAAGTTGTGGATATGTTCATAAATGGTATTAATATATTCATAATCTGGCAGAGTTAATCTTTAGTATCCAATATAAGTTGATTTAAATATTGATTTTGATTTGGTTTTAATTCATCTGACTTAATTACAGCACAACACTGTACATGTACTTTGTCATTTTTCATGATAACAATTTCTCTTTTATGTATACTTTCAATGATAGAGTTGTTATTTTTAGAGCTGTCTTTGAAATCCTGGTTGTGTGGTGGGACGGTAGAAATCCTACCTTGTAGTCACGTGGGTATTATCAGGAAAAAGAAGAGAGCAGCAACTCCGAACAGCAAGTCCCTCTCTGTTGTCAGGTAAACTGACTAAATAAATAAAACATTCCATTCTGTTGTATGGTTAATTATTACAATTATTTATTTATTAGATTGCATAGATTATTGACTTCAATGACAGAAAAAAAATTGAAAAAAATGTTTATAAAGATTGAAATTGAAGAAGAATTTTTTCCTAATTCAACACCCTTTTTGAAGTATGTTTTTTTTTTTTTTGTTTATTTTCAGAGATCTTAGGAGAGTGGCGGAGGTTTGGTTAGATGGGTATAAGAAATATTTCTATGCCAGTCGTCCCTCTGCTAGAATGACGTCACATGGCAGGTACGTACAGGTATTACTTGGCTCTTTAATATTCGAAATCTCTCCTATAAGTAGAGATTTTAGAAATATCTGAATATATGGGATATTTACTGACACATCATCTCTTCTGATGCAACCAAATAATTCACCAGGAGAGGCTGATGATATTAAAGTACTTCTTTATAAGGTTTTTTTTTTCCCTATCACACTTGCAAATGATTTTACCCAGTCTTAAATTTACCCAGAATAAGAGAGATAATGCTGTCTGTGTTCAATTCTCCAAGTTTTAATTTAGCCCAATGTCAGACAGGAAGGTGAAATGGGCAAAAGTTTCCCTCTATATCTTAACTTCCAGAGGTAGTGACCAAATGAAAATAAGTCTCTTAATGTTAAAAAAGATACTGAATTTCTTTCCTTAATAAAAACATACCAGTAATGATTTAGCAGTGGATTATTTAAAGCCAACTAAATTGATATGTAGTGTAGCTGAGAGAAGGAAACTGCGTAAGCAGTTAGAATGTCAGCCATTTAAGTGGTACTTGGACAACGTTCTCCCTCAGCTGAGACCCCTGTCTGATGAGGACTTTGTTTACAGGAGGATCAGACAGGGCTCCACAATGTGTATGGACATTGCCTTGGGACACGTTCCTGTTATGGCCAGTCTGAGTGAGTGTTCGGAGGAGAAAAGTTCCCAGGTAGAGGAAAAACTTCATTCATGACATTTCTATAAAGTACACAGAAAAACAAATTAATGAGTGTGTTTCAAAGGGAGAAAATTCTGATATTATTGTTATTTAAAAACAATTTTAGAATTAGTTACCACTATATACCAATTAAAACCTGGGCAAATATTGCAGGAATGGACTTGGAAGAAGAAAGGGATGATAAAAAATAATGGGATGTGCCTGACAGCTGATGTAAAAGAGACACATGGTTATGTTCTCATGCAGTATTGTAGTGGAGCAAGTTCTCAGGTAATGAAATTATTTTTCTCATCAGTGTATCTTTTTTTTTTTAAATCACTATGCAATAATTTCTTTCAGTAATTGACCAATTAGTGTTGTATATGCAGTTTCTTCAAATCCTTTATCTTCAATGGATGTGAATTTAAAAAAACAACAACAACAACATTGGATTGCTTTTTCAAAGATCTATCACAGAACATTTAAAAGTGCATAAAATTATCTATATACAGCATTGCTTATAGCAAAGTGCCTGGGACAATTAAATGATTTCAAATCATTATAAAAGTAATTATGTATCTAACCTAATAATACACTTTAAAACTGCAGGGAATGAAAATCACTTCACTATTAGTATGAATATATTATGAAGTGTTCATGACCATGTTCTACTATATAGAATATGACCCTTTTTGTTTTAATATAGATTTGAATTTTGATGAAATAATTAGTGTACAAATATAAGAAAAATGAGGTGCCAGTATATACTGAGATTTTTTTTTTTTTGCATTTTCAGCTGTGGTTTAGGCAGGATAGTATGATTGTTCATGAATCATCTAAGCAGTGTATTGACAGTCATAAAGCTGAGATTGGGTTAGTGTTGTCAGAGTGTGATGGATTTATCCAATCTCAACAGTGGATACTGCCAAAGGAGGACACCATGTGAAATGTGTTCACTGTAGGGATAAAAAAAACTTCTGTATACAAATGTACAATACTCAGTAGTGAGGTTAAAGGGAGAGATACAATTATGCTTACACTTGTAGTACATGTAGATTTTTTGCAAAGGTGGCAGAGGAAAGCTGTATAATCTTTGATTGTATGAAAAGTACTAGTAAATTTTGATCTTCCCACAAAACTCAAGAAACAAGTCAATTGTGTGTATAGAAATGATTATAAAGATGGATTTCATCATTTGCATGAGTGCTTGTGTCCTTTTTTAGCTCACCAGAGCAAAAGGCTCAAGTGAGCTTTTCTGATCACAATTTGTCTGTTGTCTGTCATTGTTAGCATCGTTGATGTTGTCGTAAACTTTTTACAATTTCATCTTCTTCTGCAGAACCACTGGGCCAATTTCAACAAAACTTGGCACAGAGTACCCTTGGGTAAAGGGGATTCAAGTTTGTTCAAATGAAGGGCCACACCTTCTTCCAAGTGGAGATAATTAAGAAAAAGTAAACATTGGATGGGGTCATTTAAAATCTTCTTCTCAAGAACCACTGCAGGGCCAGAAAAGATGAAACTTATATGAAAGCTTTCTAATATAGTGTAGATTCAACTTTGTTCAAATCATGGCCTCTGGGGCTAGGTTGGGGTCGCAATGGGCAAACAAAGTTTTACATTGGAATATTGGAAAAATCTATTAAGATCTTCTTAAGAACAGCAAAGCCATGCTTGGTCATATTTATATGGAAGCATCTTCAGGTACTGTAGATTCAAGTTTGTTAGAATCATGACCCACAGGGATAGGGAGGGGCCACAACTGGCAATAAAAGTTTTACATTGGTATACATGGGAGAAACCTTTTAATATCTTCTTCTCAAGGACAGCAAAGCCATGATTAGTCATATTTATATGGAAGCACCCTCGGGTAGTTTACATTCAAGTTTGTTCAAATCATGACCCCTGGGACTTGGGTTGTGTCTGAATGGGCAAACTTTTCAATACTTGACTGATTTCTGCTTTTTCTTCTCCAGTGTGCTCAGGTGAGTGAAGTGGCCATGAGCTTCTTGTTTAAATTATTTAATATCTTAGTGGGATCTTCCAAAAACATATGTGAGAGAAGCATCTATGATGGCTTAAACCTGTGTACCAGTATAATTATGTGTGTTATGTTAGATGTCACATGCTGCTCAGCAGGGTTTTTTTTTTCACAATAACCAAAAATTCTATAATAAAAAACTGTGTACACATATATGTGTCGAGTTACTCTTCTTGATTTTTTCAATATAGCTAACTTGCTGAAATGTAACTGGAATATATATTACACTAATTAAGGTCGTTTAAAAACTGTGCGTTTAACTGTATTTGGAATGGATACGGAAGGAAAAGTGAACATTTGCGCAAACGAGTACAATTAACCTGCATTAAAAGAAATATGATATAGGGGTGAAAAGGTATTTGTTATTACAATTAGACATTATTCTTAAGGAATAACTGTCTAGTTTTTTGGATTCATGATGTGATCAATTGAGTGGCTTGCGTGTTAATTTGCTTAAATGCCGAAGGCGTTTATGCATAATATTATCACGCAAGCCAATCGATTGATCATCGTCATGAATCCAAAAAATCTGACAGTTATTCCTTATATTTACATGCTCCTGATTCTGCAAATTCCCGTGCTAATAGCCCCGCTTCTGTCTCTATTTGTCCCGCCCCGCACGTGATTTTTTTTAACCGCGCCTATCAATGAACCAGTAGATTTATGTAGAAATAAAGTATTTTTACAATTTATAATTTTATCTCGGACAAAGACATTGGAAATGTAAATATATGAAACATAAATACCCTCACGAAAACAAATATGTTCTATGAAATATATAAATCTGGTAGATAGGCAAGCTTGTGCTCTATGTTTTCTGAAACAAACTGTGCTGTAAAATCGATGAAAATTTGCATAAAATGAGAAAATTCGGAAATTGACATATTTTCTGATCTTCCTGTGACCTCTGTGTATCCCATAACTTAGAACCAATACTCATTTTGTGGTAGGGGTGACAACAGGTTTTCATTGATAAACTGTTGCATCATTCTAAAAGACACCCCAAACCAGGGGCCAAAAAGGGGTCTTAACCTATCTTGTCCTTTGGAAATGTGAACTTGTATAGCAACTCTGATTTTCTAATCCTGTAACATAGTGAAAATAACCAGAGATGAAGAAAAATTAGATTAACAAACAAAAAAATATATTACATTGATATTGTTATGTTTAATTTTTTGTCTGCTATTTTTATTTATCCGTTTGTTTGTTTATTATTTATTATCCTCAGATAAAGTGTGATTCTCGCAAATGCACCAAAGTTTGAACTAGATAAATGCTATGTGCAAAGAAAAATGTCAGTTTCTTTAGCATGTGCTACAGCCACCCGCACCTCTTCCCAACTCATAAAAATTATTTTCAATACATGACTAACTTAGCCCCGGGGGCTGCTGAAATCTTATGGATTGCTCATTATACCCAAGCAAATAGTTTGGCTGCTTTTTTTTCCCGAGAGGAGAGGGAAACATTTTCAAATTTTACATGAATTTTTGATAATTGGCCAGCAAAGACCCAAGCTGCATCTGCTTTTATCCTGGATTTTCTCAAGTAGAGTGTTGACTTCTCGTAATACACATGCAAACAGTTGTCTGCGAGAGGTGCAGGAATATAGAAAATACTTTTTAAATATTGCATAAATAAAGATGGCTTTGATTCAATCTTTCATATATTTATTAATATAAAATAAAGCCTTTTCATTTTTGGACATAACGCTTTTTCAAACAGGCCGGGGGGTTCCCCCACCCCACTTTTTGGGAGAATAGTCTTGCTATATATATAGTTTAAATATGAAAATTATTTTATTGGCTGCTTGGTCCCTGAACATTTTGTTGCAGTATGGTTAAACTCTGGCAAATAATTGCATTTAAAAAAGTTTTACCGAAAAGTTAGAAAAAGATCCCCCTCGAGTTTAGGCAGTTTAGTTTATTGGGGGGGGGGGGGAGGGAATTTTCCAAATGTGTTCTTGGTGTTCCCAAGATCTGTATTGTCGGAATTATCAAGATTTCCTCTGTATTATCATGTATTAAAATCAATTAGATTTGAAAATCATAAAGACTTTAACCTACTTGGCAATGTCTATATACGTAGTAAATCTATACATCTCAAATAACAATCTATAATGGCATTCACTTGTGGAAAAGATTTTAGAGTATGTAAATATAGCATACTATTCCAAAGACTTCGGTCAATGTAAATTTCTAGATGTAACAAATACGCAGAAAATTGGTATGATATTCGACACAAACTGATTGATGAAAATTAAAACTAAAACAGTACTTTGGTCTTGAGAATTATCTCACTGCAGTAAAAAATTTTGATTTTAGGAGATCTATAAATTTGCGAAGTTAGTAGATATTCTAAAAATCCTAGGAAAGAAAGATTCTGTAACAAATGCAGTTATGGTGTAATCGGAGATAATATTCATTTTTGGACTATAAAAAAAATATATAAATGTAAAAATTTGTTAATGACAGAAAAAACTTTTTGAAATTTAGTGGAAGAATGTACTAGTATACGTAATTTCGCTATATTTGATGATGAACAAAAAAATAAATATTTGTTTTGTTCTGAAGATACTTTTTTTTTCTTTTTCTTTTTTTCTTTTAAATGCAACTGGAAAATATGGTGGCATATTTCTGCCCACTATATGCAAGATAAATTATGTTAACATGCAACATAATTATGTTGACATGCAACTTATTATGTCAACATGCAAAATAATTATGTTGACATACAAGTTATCAATCTCTTCAGAGAATCTAATTTTAATGTTGGTAAACTTACTTACTAACGCCATTATATGACATCATTCAAGCAAGATAAAACAGGATTAGGTTGACATGCGACTTATTTATGTTAACTTGCTAGATAATTATGTAGACATGCGACTTATGTCAACATGCAAGATAATTATGTAGACGTGCGACTTATTTGTGTCAACATGCAAGATAATTATGTAGACATGCAAGTTATTTATGTCAACATGCAAGATAATTATGTTAACATGCGAGTTAATTATGCCATCATGCGAGATATGTATGTTAACATGCAACTTTTTATCTTGCATGTTGACATAAATACCTTGCATGTTAAAATATAACTCACATGTTGACATAAATAAGACGCATGTTGACATAAACAAGTCGCATGTTGACATAAATAACTTGCATGTTAACATAAATAAGTAGCATGTTAGCATAATTATCTTGCATGCTGACAGAAATAAGTTGCATGTCTACATATTTATTTAGCATGTTAACATAAATAAGTCGCATTTCAACATATTTCTGTTGCAGCTTGCTCGTATGGTGTCATATACTGGCGTTAGTAAGTAATTTTACCAACATTAACTTTAGATTCTAAAAAGATGGGTAACATGCATGTCAACATAATTATTTTGCATGTTGACATAACTATCTTGCATGTTGACATACTTTTCTTGCATGTTAAGTAAACATACTTTTCTTGCATGTTAACATAATTTATCTTGCATGTAGGGGGCAGAAATATGCCACCATAGGAAAATATATTTTGAACAACATCTGTTACTAGGCCTATCATATTGTGTTTTAAAATGTTTTTGTCTAATTTTTAAACTCTGTATTCTTTTATCACAACAGGCACGTAGTATCGGAGGGGGAGGGGGGCAGAAGTTTTTGCTTGTCAAAGTTTTTTCAGTTGACATTTTTTTCTGCCTACAACCCCCCCCCCCCCCCCCCCCACCACCACCACCACCACCATTGTCCCGCTTCAAAAACACCTTGACGGATAATAAAAAGATATTAAAACATTCCGCCTCGGAAATGATTTTTGCAGAGATTGCTCCAAGTCAATGACTACATTACGAAGCATTTAGCAAATGTGTCATTCTTTATGACAACTTTATTGGTTGGTTATTTGGAATCTAGCGAAGGTTCGGTGTCCCCCTTTTACGCCATAATAAGAATTGTTTCTTGACGTCATCAGAAGTCCCAGAAGATATTCATTATGTACTAGTAATGATATTCCGAGAGAAAGACAAAAATCCACCTCGCTTCATCTGCGTGCGAGCATTAATCAATTTTTGCAAATTGCAGTGCAATTAGCCTTGTTACACAGTTAATTCAACCTCTGACAGAAATGGATCAGGAAGCATTATTGCGAACATGGTGGGCGTTTTTACTCGTCACAAGTGGAATATTATCCGAAATAGGATTTTGGAGTTTTTCGACAATTTACCTTAGTTTTGCCAATTTATTTTCAAGATGATCAAAGACAGATTATTTATTTTCTTCTTTACTGAAAAAAGTTTGACAAGCTCCCCCCCCCCCCCAAAAAAAAACGCCCAAACTCTAGAACTCTATTTTTTGGGGGGGGGGATAATAGCACTAGCCAAGGACAGATTTTTTTTTCCCAGTCGACGACAAATTATTTATTTTCAACATTTTCGATTTTCGAGGACAAATTCTGCCAGCCCCACCCCTAAATGGTCGTCCCCTAGAATTTCAAATATTTATTCCAGCCCCCTTTTTCAACAAGAGGCCCATGGACCACAACGCTCACCAGACTTACATGTACTTTAACCCTGCTGTTTTTAAGACTTTTTTAACGATTTTTATATTCCCTTGAAACCCCGTATTATGGGCCTTTCCTAATTCTAAGGGGTCTCTGGATCCACACACCATGGGGATACTTCAATATCAATATGAATAACATGACCTTGCAGATATGAGAAGAAAATTCTTTTCCTGTATAAATTATGTAAATTGTGATCATGATTTTAGTCAATTCTATCCCGGGGTCCATAATTTAAAAAAAGAATGAATTCACACAACATGGGAATTTTTGAAAATTAATGTTTATTGTCTTTCTTTAGATAAAAAAAAAACTTTATATTTCAATGTAAAATTTTAATCCCTTAATGTGGCCCCACACTCCCCCTGGGGGTCATGAGTTGAACAGTTTAGAATTTACACTACCTCAGGAAGCCTTCGCATAAGCTTCATATCTTTTATGTCCAGCGGTTCTAGATTTTTCTAAGAGATTTCAATGTAAAAATTTGATCCCTTAGTATGGCCCACCTTACCCTAAGCGTCCATAATTTAAAGACATTTACGAGAACCTACATTATGTCTAGAAGCTTCCACATGAGTTGTATATTTTCTAAT